AAGTATCAGTGTCAAGTATAGCACATAAGCAGGATTTAGATGCCAGAATTCAACATTCTAGAGCAACGTTCTTTGACATTCCCAGTGATTTTGCATCCCTGTGTTTTCAGGGCTCACTTCGGGTGGTTTAAGTTCTCTTTCCCAGGAATGATCTTGGTTTGGGTTTTTTCTTCCAGAAGTTATTGCAGCTTTGAAACATGTTGTTAGGAAGCATTGAGTGCTTCAGTCACTAATGAGGGACGTGGAGCCTCTAGGTTTGTTCTTCTCCTCCTCCCTAGCTCGCAGTGCAGGAGCAGAGGATGGGCTCCAGGCTAAGAGCTGGTCTGGAGCCTGGGTGCTCTCATCACCTCAGCAAGCTTTTGCCTCAGAGTGGAACAGTAGCTTCAGGGTTCAGCACTGGTGATTAAGAGAGAGAAATACTTTCATCTGGAATGCTGGAGACCTGGTTTCAGTTCTCTCTTTTGCCTACTGGGATTCAAATTTCCTTCCCTAACCTCTCAGTTGTATTGATACAGAAGCAGAAGAAAGTAAGGTGCAAAAAAAGTTCTTGAATAGATTTGGTGGTATAACATTAACATTTAGAATTTAAGAGAGGCATTTTGACAAGGAACATGCTGTGAATCAGATTTTTGTTGCTGAAGGATTGTCAGCAAGGCTTCATCTTCCCTGTGTATATTTTGAAAAGCCAAGAGGATCAGATGGTCTCGCTTCGTAAGCCTATGGAGGCAGGATTTTAACCTGTCCGTTGAGGGAAGTGAACTTCTAACTGCCCTCAGAGCATGGCCACATTATTCCCTGTGATTAACTCCAGTTGGCTTAAGAGCAGAGTTTAGGAGCAGAACTTCAGTCTATAGAAAAATAACAGTAGGACATGAATATGTAAGTAACAAATACCCTGTTTCCATGGAATTTTGGTGAAGGAAGACAAATAAGTATGTTTTACATATATTATCATTGTTGGAAATAGAGGATTCTCTATGTGGTAAGGAGGCAAAGAACAAGATTATTGAAAATCCTTAGGGGTTCAGGTCTGACAGGATGCATTGTGTGTGTTCACTTCCATTGGTACTAGGGAAAAAAAAAAGTGTTCTTTTCTGATTGCCAACTTTTGTACAATAGGAACATGTGAAACCCAAATACCACTTAATGGGAATGGTTTTATTATATATTTATTTGAAAGTGATGCTTCCTCCCCACATAATATGTGCAGAGAAGCCACCAGGGATGACAATAGCTTGGAGAATTAATAACTAAGGTTTTGTAGAATAACACATTTATAACCCAGTGAAATGCAGCGATTCTGGTAAGTGCTGATCCAATGAAATCCACCTGATTTTGTAATGAAGCGCTGTCCCGTGGTGTATAAGGGCAATGGTTAGGTCCTCCGCACAGAGCTATGTGTTGGAAATTGAAAAGCTGAAAAATGGTGGTTTACTGTATTTGAACCAAATATTTGGAATACACTTTGCATAATATTTGTTCGCTTATTGACAAAAATAGGTTGGAGATTTAGCATTAATATCCTGGAGACAAACTCAAGAGGCAATTCCTTGCACTGTGGCCAGATCCTCGATACCTTGACAGTTGATCTAAGTTCTTAAAACTCTGCATTTAAGAGTTTCCTGCAGTTCTTGGGCTATTCTGGTGCTTCACTGACCTTGAAAGGCTTTTGCAATTAGGGAACCTTAGTCCCTTTTTTCCGCTGCTTATTAAAATACACACAGTGTTTATAGAGGAAGAGAAGGAAGACTTGGAAAAATAAACTGAGGTAGACAGAGTATTTCAAACAAATAGTAATTCTGGTCTAAATATTGTTTCCCACAACGAAGCTACAGCATCAGAGTGGCCTGCAGATAGAGTTACAGATAGATTGAAGGCAGATCTGTGAGGAGATGAAAAGCATCTGTGATGTTGTCATGAGATGAAAGCTTCATTGTAGCTAAGTTTATATTCATGTTGTACCAATTAGCAATTCCAGTGTTAATATTTCACAGTTTGGCAGTTTGAAGCTTGTGTTTTGAGCAGGTAAAAATGTAACTTCTTGTCTTACTTTTTCCTTATTGACTTGGTTAGCTCTCCTCTTGAATTTGGACTAGAAACAGGAAAAAAAACCCTCTCAACAGGCTTGAAAACCTGTTGTTCAATTCTAATGCACCTTACAGGGTTAACGTCAGGCTACTTACCAGTAGTCGTGGTCATCACAGAATGCCTTACATAAAACAACGAATGGATTTCCACAATATCAACAATTAACTCTGTGCTTGAAGAACATACCTTTGTATGTTCTTCATCTGATAATGCTCAGTACCCCTGGGTTTAACTTTGTTGAGCAGTGAAAAGACTTTCTTCAGTTATTGATCGGAGCCCTGCTCATTTCAGCTCTTCGCCTTCCCTGATTCCTGTTTCTCCTTTTCTTCCTCTTAAGATCTTCTGTTTTCTTCCAAAAGAAGACTGACAAAATACAACCTCACCTTCCCCTTTTTTTCATGCCTTTTACCCGCTTTGCCCCAAATTCTGTTTCATACCTTATCATAGACACTGAAACTATACGTTGGTTTATGTCATTGAACCCTGGGTTTACCCAGTCACATCAGCCTGTCTTCCAAGCTGCTTCACACCCCACTGCTTCATTTTTCCCCTTAATGTCTCGGTTCCTTTTCTATTAGGATTTTCTGGTTCATAACTGAAAAGCAGAGGATTCTTTAAAGTATCTTTAGACCAGCGTGAAACTGAATGGCTTGGAGTATTTTGTATGTGAAATGGAAAACAAAGTATGGTTTAGATTCTTTCTTCAGTGAGTTTGGTTGCTTTATTTTAATGCCATTAAACTTTTGTCACTGCAGCATTTGGTAGGAAGGAGGTTCCTAAGTTTATTACACGCTAAGGATTAAACATGCTTTTGCTTGTTTCAAACCTGCCACCTGTCTCAAAACAAAAGGCAACATGTTTTGGTTTAGAAATGGTTGTAGCAACGTATTGAAGTTCACCCTTCTCTTCAGATTTCCATCGAGACTGCATCTGCCAGGTCTTTCTGTGCAGCAGTTCTAAGGTACATTTCCATCTGCTTACGGGTATGAAGCATCCCCGAGGTCTTTTCATCCCACCATTCAGCTGGTCACATTGTTTTCTCTGACCTTAACATGCATAGTGTTGTCCTTGTCCATCCATTCAGGATTCTGCTGGAAAGGAATGCCATTCCTAGCCTATCCTTATGTAACTCTGTAATATCACACTTGTTTCATTTTCCAGTGGTTTCCCCCCTACTCTGTTAAACCACACAGAAACTGCTTCTCTTTCTTTCAAGGTGCACTTGAGGATTCATCCCCACTCAGTCATCACTCATTTACAACTTACTGTTTCTAGCATTTTAAAAGTCATTCTTATACCCACTGTGACCAGCTTAACTCTGTCACAAACCTATTTAGACCGAATCCCTATTTGAACATCAGTAAACTGCATAAGTAAGTCGCCATCAGGAAAGAGTGCTGTCATCACCTTCTCTTGGTACAGATGTCAAAGCCCTTTGAGGTTTTCAGGTGGGGAGAGCATTACCCAGCTGCTCACTTTGTGTTATGTCTTTTTTGTGGACTTGCAGCATGGTCACAGTCAAATTTGAGACCTAAGGGAATTTTGTTGAGCCGGTTCTTGAGTAGTAGGAATACATTTACTACCAGCAATGTTTCTTAATGAGGAATTGCATTGCTGCTGAACCTTCTGGAAATACTCTATTGAGAAGAACTAGTTAAGAGCTCAATGTGAAGGATAGTATTGTAGGTTCATAACTTCTTCTTGTAGGTTTCGTGTCTTCTATAATTTGAGATTCTGTAACACATCTGAGATTTATATGTCAAATGAAGTTTACTTGCTTTTAAAGTTAACTTTCCTCCTGATGAGGATTTCTGCCCATATGAGCTCTTGCTGGAAATGTTGGAGACACTTGGAATGTGGAAGAATCCGCTTCACAAACCCATTGTAACTCCTTGGAAGAGTGCTGCCAGATTCCCAAACGATTCAAGCCAAACTTGAAAACTCTGTGGATCCAAACTACCCCTTTTCCAAGGGGATGTGCACCTTAAAGGGATGTACTGGTAATTCAGAAGTCTTTTCTCAGCTGTTGAGCAAATTGCTGTGCCATTGGCAAGGTTCTGTCCAGTTCGTTGTTTTCAGAAGTACAACCCTACATGCCAGGGCATGAAAGCAAGAAGTGAAAGTAGGAACGACGAGGGGATGACTAGCGTGGCAGCAGAAAGAAAGCACAATTTTCTTTTAAGGCAAATAATGAGGGGTTAAAATGAGCATCAGAAGCCCCTGTCACAGACGGGATGTGGTGAGAATGTATAAGAAAAGCTTCCAAGGTGGAAATTAAAGCATCATTTGCCAAGCTTCAGGATGGCATCCTTCCTTTCCCACCCAAGACAAAGGGTCTATTGCAGTTTCGTATCTCTGGCTCCATTCAATTCCTTGTGAGCTAATTTATTCTAGACAGTGCATTTTTCTACGTGCATGTGTTCTGTTGTTTTGCTACTTGTAAATTCTCAGTCTCGAGAATAACCTTTACAAGAGAGGAATAAGAATTTCCTGAATTTTATTATCTTCAAAGTTCCACTAGTGTTTTCCAGTTTGGGAAAGTAAAAGATCCAGTGTTTAATGTTCTCCAGGATGCTGACAAATTATGTGACAGGTCCTATCACAGCAACTGAAGTAAACAGGGACCACAAAGGCTGCTCTTCATCTTCTGCTTGTATTTCTCCTGAATTATGAAGCAAAAGGAACACAAATCCTGGGTTTCTTTTTAATTCCAGACTGCTTTAGTCTTTGTTAGCTTCAGTATGTGCAAACGGAGGGTATATTTAGGGTGTACGTTCCTTGTTGGGTAATTGAATGAGACTTCTGTTACTGTCAGTAAGTTGCTTTCCTAGTTTTCTATGCATAGTTCTAAACACTGAGTTCCCAGTAACATCATTCCGCAAAATACATTGAACTTTGTGTCTGTTTCCTAGGGCTGTGACTCTCAAATGAGCATGTCAGAAGTGTCCTGCAGCGAAAGTACCTCCTCTTGTCAGTCTCTGGTACATGGCTCAGCTCCAGAAATCCTCCTTGGCCTCCTTTATAATGCTACAACTGGAAGATTATCAGCAGAAGTGATAAAAGGCAGCCACTTCAAAAACTTGGCAGCGAACAGACCACCCAGTGAGTGAAAATCTTTATGCATCCTAATGCTTCTGGACTGGTGGGGCTCTCGGTAGCAAGGACTTCAATCCTATCATTTAGTCATACCCAATCAAAATGAAATAGAGCAATCATCAACTAATCTGTTTCATGTTTGATATTTCCAGTCAGTCGGGAAATAGCAAAAATCTCAGCTTCAAAACATTAATTGTAAGTTGACAAGACTGTTTAAATTTTTCATGATGACTGACTAATAAATTACCTTTATCGTAATGATTAATTGCTAAATTACTAATGCCTCGCATCACAGGCCAAGCATAAAAAGTTAGTGTTTAAAGAGAAAGTACATGCCAGCTAATGTTAATATAAACATTCTGAGCAGTTACTGCTTTTCCTAGAGGAGTTTGTGCTGCAGACTGTAATTGCTTTTATGCCTCTGTAGAAGTGGTGGTTAGATATGTAGCTTGGGAATGTCAGTGAAGGCAACAGAGAAACAAATTGAGACCTTTGGCATGTTGTGCAGGAGGACTATTCACTATCAGAAAGGATTTGAACTGTGTGCTCAAGCGTTTGTTCAAAAGTACATTTGTCTGAAGTATCTGTGATCTCTATATACGTCTAAATTGGAGGCAGATGGGATGTCACACACAGAATGTTTTTACTGTCTAATTCTTTGATATAGCTTGAGAAAGTTCAGTAATGAACTCATATCACATTTATTTTTGTATTGTTTTTTACATGATGAGGCTGATGGACATAAGGTGTAGCCAGACATACCTGCTTGTTCCTCTTGATATAGGCTGAGGGCTCAGGTTTTAGCCCTTCTGTTTCTTAATCTCCAGATTTGTATGGCACTAGCAGATTATCTGGCATTACTAGGTTATGCAGTAGGCTGCCAACACTTTATAAGTGGTTTGCACATCTCACTTTATCTTCAGAGTTCAGGAAGTAAGCCAAATAACTTGAGACTGGTGCTTTCCTCTTTCTTTCTTGACCCATGTTTTCTTCTGTTCAGTAATGACGTTTGGCTCAGCCTTACTCTGCTTGGCTTTCTCCATACTTTTCATGCTGATGGAGCAGACTTTGTTAACGTGGCCACAGAAGGAAAGTGAAAGAATCACTAATGCTTTCATATAGTTAGGTAGCTGTCCCAGAGTAACCTGTTTGAAGACAAAGCATAGAAATAGCTGGGGAGAGCCAAGAAGGCACAAGGACACTGGGGTGAGGGACGGAAGAATGAATGGGAGAGCAAACCTGGAGAGAAGGGACCATGTGTTCCCTTAGAGAAGAAACAGTAGGTGGCTTATGCTTGTCTTTGTAGAATCTCTACAGATAGCCAAGTTCTTAATATTTAGAGTAGGCAAGTATTTGGTCGGGACTTGTTCTGAAGAGAGATATGTGTCTTTGTTTCTCTGTGTGGCAGTTAGTATTTTGCCTGAGAAAAAGATGCTGCTTAGTATTTTTCCAGACATCATTGAAGCTGGGTGCGAGCTTTTGTACGTCAGATGGATGTGTGTGTATGCATGCACACGCACATTAAATCCATAAATACATGGATTCAAACAAGTGAGATCTTTACATTTTAAATAGAGGCCCAGAGTTGAATTTCAGATGTAAGCATCCCTCAGCTATTTTTAGAGGTTAGATCAGAATTGTTCTTGTGCCCAAGTCTGTCACTACTCAGGAACTGAAGTACTGCAGTCAAATATGTGAAACTATGAAAGTTAAGGGCAAAACCAGCTTAGTTTTCAGTTCAGCGATTTTTCATTTTATTGCTTTCTATAGATGAAGTAAAACTACTGTGTGCAGTTTTTCTCATTATGCTGGAGTTTGCATGAAAAAGCATAAGGTTTGATAAAAGCTACAGTGATTTATTTTTTTTACCCAGTCTCCTATTGCCTAGTCATTTGCATGATTCTTTCTGTGTTGAGTGTGCTGTAGAATCCAGTAGCTATCGGTGCTAAGGTAATCCATTATGGAAGAAGTGTAATTTTTGTTAAAGATTACACAAGAACTGCACAAAAAGTTTCATTTCATGAAATTTTACCCAGCAATCCTTTTGTTCGGTCCTTTTTCTGCTCTATGCTACTAAGGTTTTGTGTTCTTCCACTCCAGTGAATAGTGTTTCCTCTTAAACTTTAACCTTTGATCCTCTCTCACCCAACTATTGACATCTGGTCATTATTTCTTTTCCTGCTTTCCACCCCCCGTTGTCAGACGGACTGTTCTGTTGTCTAAAACACTTGATAGGTGGACAGGTTTATATAATCCGAGGTGAGTTCTTGTAGAAACTAATTGAATGTTGTCTTTTTCATGCAAAAGAAAACTTGCCAGCAGTAAAGCTAATGCACAGCTGCCTACCATATTGGTTTATAAAAGTATGTGTTTATTATTTGTGGCACTCTGTAACGCACCAGTTGCATTTATCTCTGATTATGGATGTTGGGATTTCAGTGTACCTGCAAGGTGAAAATATTCCTTATGTCTCTTCGTACAGAAATCTTCCATCAAATCTACATAAAATCACTCCAGTCTTCTAATACTATTATTCATTAACGTGAACATGACAGGTATAAAGAATGAAACACCAGGTTGTTTTATACAGCTCTATGTCTCTCAAAATGGTTAACTTCATGGAATATGCAACCTTCTGCTGGAGCATGGCTTGGTGCCATTCTACTCAAATGAAAGTAGAGCTTTAAAAATAAGGGTTTCTACCCAAGTACTAACACCCAGTGTGTGCTAACCCCACTTGCATCAGCTTCTGAAATGTACCTCCTAAGAGCAGTGTACAAATGATGCAAAACCTTATTTCTCTTTAAAAGTGTATTAAGTGTATTCATGAAGGTACAAATTAATAGGGTTGTTTGTACTGTGTAAACTTCCACCTTTAAATGCACTTTGCTACAGTTAGGTCTTTAAAATATCTCAAATTGAGAAGCTCAAAGTGAGAGCCACATCCATGCAGAGATTATTCTTAAGCATTTCATTCTGGCTGTTTTACCAACATTATTTCTTTAATCTTCATTACTTGCCTTCGTTCCATTTTCTTTATTCCTGTTCTCTGGAAGTTCAGTGGTACGCTTCACAGTGTTGTGGCTAGTTGGAGCTTGCTAAGTGTTAATGCCATGTAAGTTTGTTTAGTACAAATAAGAGGGGTTGATGGGAAGAGGATTATGAGGTATACCTTTAACTTAACCCATTTACATAGTACTGAAGCTAATTAATTTGTTAGTGTGGTTGTAATATTTTGCTTACTCGTCATCTTTCCGTGTGTCTAAACTAAGCTGTGTTCAGTCAGCCTGGTATACACCATATCCTTGTGTCTTGTAAACCTCTCGCTCTCAAAGACTTTGGTTCTGCGCTATCTGACATTCCAAAATATGATTTCTTTTGTAGATACGTATGTTAAGTTAACACTGCTGAACTCGATGGGGCAAGAGATGTCCAAATGCAAAACGTCAATCCGCCGAGGACAGCCAAATCCAGTGTACAAAGAGACCTTTGTTTTCCAAGTGGCACTGTTTCAGCTTTCCGATGTGACACTCATACTGTCTGTGTATAACAAGCGCAGCATGAAACGAAAAGAGATGATAGGGTGGATATCCTTAGGTCTCAACAGCTCAGGAGAAGATGAACTCAACCACTGGACTGAAATGAAAGAATCTAAAGGACAGCAAGTTTGTAGATGGCATACTTTACTAGAATCGTAACGGATGGTACAAAGTGCAGTCGTGGTTCTAAGAGATTTTGGTCTCCAGAAGACAGTCGTCCCCGGTAACAATCAACAGATGCGTTGTGGAAGTAAAGTATGAAAACTGAGGTCAACATTCCATCATAAAGAATGCACAACATGCAAACTGGGTGGATTTAATAGATAATCTTCACTTAGAGTCCTGCGTACGCTTCCTCGGTGACAGAGAAGCCTTGCTGTACACAGATACGTTAGTGGTCCCTCTCCCGTCTACCTGATGCTGTATTTGTTTGGGTTTGTTTTGTGGTTTTGGATTCAGAAACATTTTATGTAAGGTTCTCCAAATCAGTGTAAGCTCCTCCTTGTGTAATTTTTGTATTGCTCTAACACTGTAGCTTCTGACCTGCCTGTGTTCAGATTAAAGGGCAATAATTTGCACTTTGAGAAAAACTGAATGATCTGTAGAGCAAAATTAAAACCCACCGCTGGAGAACACTTGGTAATATAGCAAATAATTCAATACTGTTGGTTTACACTGAGTTTCTTTCCAGGAGCTGAGTACAAGTAAGTTCTCCTTTTTTGATATGCAGTTGGCTTGAAAAATCTTAGCATTTGGGAAACAGGTGAACTTTGGCATCAAACTAATGTTTCTTCAATCTGTGTCAGGAACGAGCTCTATATACGGCATAAATTGGGTTTTTCCCTTTTGCCTGTACTTCTGCCTAATCCAAAGAGACCAGATCATTAGTTTGGTCCCTTCCAAATCTCCTTAGACAGGTTGTACTGTAAAACTATGTAACTTTCTGTTGAAAGCACTTCCTGTATTCGTGTATTCCAATGTAGGAAGCTCATAGAGCATGACTTTACTAAAATATTTTTCCATTGAACAAATTGATACAGGTTTCTTTAAGATGCCAGCAGTCAGAAGGTAGGTTGAAAGACATGAAGGAAGCAGCAGTGGATAAGCTGCTCTGACTGAATGCAAAATACCGTGGCTTTGATTGAAATAGGTCTCTGTTTGAGTCTCTTCTGAGCTGTTTAAGGAATACCGTATGCTTTGTGTTGGAAGTAGAGAGCAGACGAGGAGTTTTTACCTTTCTTCTTGGAGAAGAGAACCCTCAGGAGGTTATTTTTCTAGAGATTTGCCAGCAATTGAATGAATGTTCACACTCAAAGTTTGCTTTGCTTATGTTCAGGTTGGGAAACACAGCTTTCTAATGACACAACTGAGAAGCCACAATATCCCAAGCAGGTTTGCCATCAGATAAACCCTCATGGCTTCCAATGAAACTGGGGGAATACCAGTGCTTCTGAGATTCCTGTTTGTCCCAGATACGTTTGTGGGAGTCACGCTAATTTACTGGCTGCTGAATATAATTCATGTTATATTCACTGTGGATTATTGAAAAACATTTTTTTTAAAAAGTTTCCCAATTCAAACACTCTTTTTCTGTGTAATTTTAAGTTTCATTTAATTGTTGCTGTACGGAAAGCAAGGGATTTCTTTTCTTATGAATGATGGTGACATATTACTAATATGGGATCTCAGTGACTGGTGTAAGACTTGGTGGTTAGAAGGGTGAAATTTTGGATTGTGTTAAGAGAATCAGTGATAGCCTAGAGCGTTCTCATTAGGACAAGCGTTTTTCTCTTGATTTTCTATATAATACTTGTGGACAATCCTGGCTTTAGGGTATAGAGACAGTCAAGTACAGTGAGATCGAGAGCGTGAGTATTCAAAAATAAAGATATGTCACGTGGGTCTCACATCCTCACACTGACTAACAATATCATGAAGTCCTTTTTGGTAGACACTGTAATTCCACTTCATGGTTTATTTGGTGCCTTTGGAGGGGTTTCTTTGCAGAGCCAGGCTTTCAGTTGTTACTGATTTAGAGACTGAAAACGTCACTACAGGCCTTTTGGGGTTTTTCTTCCCTGCTATTGTGCTGCTGCTTCATTTACAGAAGCTTTGTTTACTAACTACAGGTAATGCAAAAGCTGTCTTTAACCAGGAATGGTCTTGCAGGTTATCTCTTTCAGTCCTTTTTGTTGCTCAGTTTGTGAAATGTAATGTTGAGTGTAGAGTTTAACAAAAATTCAACATTGATTTTATATGCATAAGGAAAACGCTAAGGTTTTCCCAATCCTTCCAGCTTTCCCTATAACAGAAACACTGACATCGACGCTCTTCAATAGCAATTTTTTAATGGGTGTGGAAGTGTTTTTACTCATTCTGTTTGTGGTTATGTGGATACTCTTTCCTAAAGCCAAAAGTTGTCTCTTGATGGTTGCACAGTGTTAAACGGCGAGAACTGAACAAATTCACTCCAGTGGAGAATATACTTACCACCACCACTGAATAAATGAAGAAGTCAGTTTGGAAGGTGCAGCAAATCGCCTCTTGCAGAACCAAACTAAACTAAACCGTGTCATGACTTGGCTTTCTGCTTGTCAGTTACACCTCTTGAATTTTACATCCAGACATTCCGATTTCTAAGACACTAAAATCTTAATTTAGACACAGCAGAGATTTATGGTCTGTATGAATACGTTGGGCACATTTGGACAGAGGAATCTCTGTAAATGATGTGCAGGTCCAGTCTGTGCTTCACCGAAGGAAGTTTGGCTTACTTAGGTTTATACTGTACAAAGGCTGGGAACTGAATGTATGAAGAGTGAAAATGAATGTTCAGTTTTGAGGCAGTGGAATATGGATTTGCCATGCAAAACCAGTCACGCCAGTAACTGGATTCACCCTGGGATTTGTATGAATTAGAGTACCAATAGCTGTCATGTTGGTTTTCTTCCTAGATGCCTTTCTTATGATTTGATCTATTTCAGACTTGTTTTTCTTACTGCTTTATGCAAACCTTATACTTTTGTATTTGAAATCTGCCTTTTAGATACTGGCTTTCTGAAACCCTGTGTAAGTGCTCATGGCTTTTGTGCATTCAGTTAGGTCTTAAGCATGGAACGGAATTTCTGGAGAACAAAGCAGCAATTAGAGGCATTTGTGTTTTCTTCAGAGTTGTCTGTGCTCTATATTCATAGCTTTTTGTTGTTTACCTTTGCTCAAAAGTACAGCAAGTACTTGGAAGAAGTTATCAAATTAAGTACTTTTCCGTGTGCCAGTATATCGTGTGGAGATTACAATCCCTGAATTGAATCTGTTTCCTGACAACGTAGCCTTAAATAGTGATAGAACAGTGACAACCTCACAGATTCTGTTCTCAAAAATAACTGCATCCTTTCTGTATATGACTTATTTGACTTAATGCTTAGCAGATTTCACATAGGCCTTCTTAAAGTGGTGTAAATATGAAGTTGGTTAGTTCCTTTCTGTGCTAAGGGCAAGACTGTGAAGGGCAGCACAGGCAAGCATGATATCACTGTGCAGAAGGATGACATCCTTGCTGTAACCACCCTTGCGAAGGTGGACGTTAGGCAAAGTGTGAGTTCTGCTAGTGGAAAAATATGGCATGATTTCTACATCCAATTAAAATCCTCTAACTTCGTTAATTAGATTGCAAAATCTGGAAAGCCCTTGGAACGAATGTGTGTGCTCTTATTGGAACTGAACCTTGTTTATCGTTGTAGGAGTACTTGAGCTGAAAGCAGATTTTGTGGCATTGGCTCTAGGAGATGCTTTCGCCTGTCATTTTTCACAGCCATTCCTGATGGCAGGATGCGGTGCCAGCATCAGACCCTTCCCATTTTTCACACCCTTGGAGCCATTTGTTGTTGTTGTTGTTGTCTAAAGTTTGTGTTTGTGTTACTGATTTATTCTCTTTTCTCCCTAATGACTTGCTCTGGCAAACTCCCCAGCACCCTGAGAAGCTGTCTCTGCAGTCACTGGACCTTAGATGTCAAGAGGCTCTCTGCACCTCTTATAGTAAGGTACTGCTGCAAACCATCTAGATGCAAGCCATCCTGAATGCAAACCATCAGGTTTAATACAGTGAAGCAGAAGACGACAGTTTTTTCTTCAAAGGAGACATTTTACTGTAAGAATTGAAATCAGATCACTCTGATGCCTACAAATCCTAACAAGAAGACTGCAGGAAAACCGGAGAATGAGGTTTGAGGGGAAGCCTTTTGGCCTGAGCTGTTCCAACTTGAAACTAACAGCAGAATGCCCTTTCATTTAAATGAGACTTGTACTGAGCCCTTTACTTACTCGTAACACTTTTCCTGGAGGAAAATAACCTGGCCTGTTTAAAGCAGTCTTCACAATTACGGCTTGTCACTTGTAAGGCACACTGACTTCCTCCTGAAGCCGAATTGTCAGTAACAGCTAAACATCCATTTAATTCAGCCACTGATGTGCATGCCTACCTACTGTTAATGTTAATGTGGGAAGCCCGTGGGCATCAAGAGGAGGGTAAACCTGATCGTGAAAGGATGAAGTGCAGCAGGATCAGTCGGTTAGAGCAGTCTTACAGCGTGGCATCTGCAACACCATCAAACGTGATTTCAGTTATGAATGGAGGTGTGAAACCACGTATCCAGATACTGTCACATACGTGCTATTTAATCATTAACTCTTCTTTTTGTTTTTCCTTTCCCTCAGTTTCTGGAATATTTTTAACACTTAATATGAAAACTGTTAAAGCAGTCCCCAAACATCTTGATCGTTCTAACTGGAGCATTCAGCAAACCCATTGTTAGAGCAAGCCATCAAGAGTGTTCTCTGTATTTTTGGTCTATTTAACTCAACTGCCAGATTTTGTAGTGCATCACAGCTGGATTTCAGCCTACTTTGTTCTGATGGTGGTTTTAGAGGGGAAAGGCACAGCAGTGTTTGCCTGTCAGTGAATCAGTGCCTGATGAAGGGATGTCATCTGAGAGCGAGAGCAGTAAAGTAAGAGACTGCTTCATACAGTGGCAGCAAAAATGACTTGAATTCGACGCTCTTGGAGCCTCATGGCCCTCGGGGGACCCTACTCAGAGAAACCAGGACGTGTGAATTGTGGGAGTTCAGCACCGGTCTGTCTGGGCGTTCTGTGGCTTCTAAATTAGTGTATTTTACAGATGTAAGCAGGGTAGATGATGTTTATTTACTCAGGGTGAGTACCAGCTGCCCTACAGTGACATGGATTAGTTGAGCCTTAAGGACTTATCACTGCCCCTCCTTAAGTTCAAGCAGGGTTTCTTCCTTTCTGCATTCTATGCAGAAATCTTACCTGCATCTGTTTATATTATGCCTACCTGAATATGGCATCATTGTATTAATGCTAGCAAGCCTAGTTCATATATAACATGGTGTGACTGAATTAATCGGTTTGATACATGACAGACCAGGTTTTCCTGTGCAGGCTGACGCTGGTGTAATACAGAAGTAAGACCCTTATGCAGAGGAACGTGCCAGGAATCAGGAAAGCAGGTAATTTTGCTCCTGTTAGGAATGAAGGCTAAGAAACGGGCAAGGCTAGCCT